GAACTTCACCTAAACGAATTTCGAGGTGGTGCCGCCTCAATAGAGAGTCAGAGTTTTTCTCTTAAAAGTTTGTTGAAAATGATGCATGCAAGGCCATATTAGCGCTAAGCGAGCTGGGGAACTTAAGAACATGTAATACTTGTGTGTGTGTTCTTACCGGTATTGTCGTATGGAATAATTGGTTCAAAGCTTTCATGTTACCGTTGATTCCGACTTTACTTTGTTTGGATTACACTATGGTTAGATTCAAATCGAATGATATCTAATCCTCATGCATAAGTATTGTATGATTTGAATATGAGATTTTATTGAATTTTGAACAAGTGGGGGGATTGATGGAAAATGTTGTTCAAAATAAATAAAAAACTGAGTGTGAAATGGAAATGGAACAAACGTGGAAGACCATGGTATAAAAAGGCGTCCGTGAGCGCACCCATGAGGCATACATGTACTGCCTCGAGGCGGTTCTGCCAAGGCCATTTATGTGAGGCAAACGCCTCTTTAACTGAGGCGTACGCCTCAAGGCATGCGCCTCAAGGTGCATGAGGCATGCGCCTCAGCTGAAATATTTTTTGTTTTAACTTTATTAGTAAAAAACTGACTGGGTACTTCTTAAAAAAAATGGGCCCATTAAAAACGATTTTGTGGGCCCAAAAAAACCTAAAAAACTAATTTATATATCATATATGCAGCCAGAAAATGAACAGGTTACTGAAAAGTCAGAATACCCGTCTTCTTCATCCTGCTTTTGGCCGGCTTCAACAGATCAGACATCAGGTATTCTTCTTCTTCTTCTTCTTCTTCTTCTTCTTCTTCTCATACTTGTTCTTCTTACTACTTAGGGTTCTATTTATAAAGTTACAGTTTTTAAAATACTAAAAATGCATGAAAATATTTCCCAGAAAAGTTTTCTTCTTGGTTCTAAGTTCTATTTATGAAATTACAGTCCTTCTCCTTGCATGCAATAAATCTCTTTAATTCCTGGAGATCGCAGCTACTGTTAAGTCACTTATATTGGAGATTTCTATAGCTAATAACTTGAAATTGTCAGTGCTCTTAATATCCATTTTTGTTGATATAATAATATCCTATAATCCTATTATTCCAATCATCTATGAACCTTGGGGGACCAGTTTCCAATCATCTGTGTAGCTGTCTAATTTTCAAATTGCAGCTGCTGAGTAGCTTATGTGATGTGGATTGGAGGACCAGTTTAAATTTTATATTCCATTACATATTTACATCTTACATTCAATAGTACTTATAGTTTATCTACAAGTAGTTCAAAGACACTTCCTCATCAATTTTTCTGCATCGAATGTGATCATCTCATTACTTAATTTTTTTTTCTCGTATTGTAGGATGGGAAAGAACCATCGAACAGATCCAGCTTGGAAGTATGGAAAAGAAATTGAAAAAACAGGAGGTGATAAAAAGTCATACGTCTACATTGAGTGTATGTTTTGCAAGAAAACCATTACCGGAGGGGTGAAGCGGATGAAGAAACACTTAGTATGTACTCACAAGAATGTATCCCCATGTCCTGGAGTTCCGGCGGAAGTTAAACAAGAGATTGCGGAGTATATCAATGTTGGAAACATGAAAAGACAACTATCACAACAACAATTTGAAGATATGGTCGAGCTCGGTTCTTATTATGAGAAGAATGATACAGAAAAAGATTCTTCTAGAGGCATTAGAGGACCAATGGATAGGTTTGTGTCAAACATTGGTGGTGATGATGAGACACATCCAAAGATGAATGCAGCGAAGATGAAAGAGATGCGAACTAGCGTCTGTTTAGATGTTGGCAGATTCTTCTTTGAAAATGCAATACCTTTCAATGCCGTTGAATCTCCTTCATTTATCAGCATGTGTCGGGCTCTTGGTTCATGCGGTAGAGGTTTTCAGCCCCCTACAATTTACGAACTCCGGACGTGGATTCTTAAAGAGGAAGAGGAATCGACGGGGAAAATAGTTGAAGATATAAAGGCGACATGGAGTAAAACTGGAGTTTCGATATTATCTGATGGGTGGTCTGACATGAGAAATAGAAGCTTGATCAATTTTCTTGTGAATAATCCACATGGAACGGTGTTTCTTAAATCTATTGATGCTTCTGATGCAATTAAAGATGCGGATTTCATGTTCAAATTATTAGACGAGGTTGTTGAAAAAGTTGGTGAAGAAAATGTTGTTCAAGTTGTGACCGATAATGCATGTGCATACAAAGCTGCTGGGAGGAAATTGATGGAAAAATGCAAGCATTTATATTGGACTCCTTGTGCTGCACATTGCATCGACTTAATGCTTGAAAAACTTGGGGAGTTGCCACAACACAAACATGCATTGATTAAGGCTAAAAAGATCAGTAATTTTATTTATAATCATCAATGGGTGTTGGCATTAATGAGAAAAATCGCAAAGAAGGAAATAGTTCGACCGGGTGCTACGAGATTTGCTACAGCCTACTTGACTTTGCAGAGGATCTATGAGTTGAGAAACTCACTACGAGCTATGTTCACTTCTGATGAGTGGATAAATTCTCCTTGGGCTAGGAAAGCGGAAGGGAAACAGGTTAGGGGAATCATTTTGAAAGATAAAATTTTTTGGCCAAGTGTTGCATATGCTTTGAAGACCACAAATCCACTAGTTAGTGTTTTAAGACTTGTTGATTCTGAACAAATGCCAGCAATGGGATTTATTTATGGAGCCATGGATAATGCAAAGGAACAAATAGCTAAAAATTTAGGTGAAGATGAAGCGGCGTACAAGGAAATTTGGAATATCATAGATGGGAAGTGGGAGTTTCAATTGCATCGAGACCTACATGCTGCTGCTTATTATTTGAATCCTCGTTGTCAATATGCTGATAATTTTTCAAGGCATTCTGAAGTTATGGCCGGTTTGTATAATTGCATGGTGAGACTCATTTCCGATCCAACTGAAAGAGAGAGAGCAGATCTCCAGTTAGACCAATTTGTTGAAAAACAGAATTTCTTTGGTCTCGAACCAGCAAAATTAACTTTCACTAAGCGGTCTCCTGGTATGTATTAAATGATTAGCCTATACTTAATAGTTGCAAAGTTGTATGTAACATTTTTTTTCTTAATTTTGATCCAGTTGCTTGGTGGACTCAATTTGGCTTTGGTACTCCAGAACTAACCAAGTTTGCAACGAGAGTTTTAAGTCTTACTTGCTCATCTTCCGCATGTGAGCGCAATTGGAGTGCATTTAATTTAGTGCATGCTAAGAAAAGAAATCGTTTGACAACAAAGAGATTGAATACTTTGGTTTACATCAATTATAACAAGAAGCTCAAAGATCGACATAGGCAATTGAAGTCACTTAAAAATGGTGAAGATCCTTTGATTCTGACGGAAACACCATCCGATGATAAATGGATTGCAGATCACGATATTGGNGTTCCATCCGATGATGAATGGATTGCAGATCACAATATTGGAACTCCATTAAACACATTCGATGTAAATTATGACGACCCGAGTCTAAATTTTATGATTGAAAGTTCTTCGCGTACACAAAGTCAACCAATTAGGAAAAAAACTGTTTCACAAAAAGGTATTCATACTTTTATAATTCAATTTTATTTTTTTTATGAAATTATATTAACACATTGTTTTTTATTGAATTTATAAGGAAGGAGACGGTCACATTATAATTGGTGGATGAGGAAGATGATTTTGTAGAAATTGAGAGTAGCGAAGAGGAAAATGATGAGGAAATTAGATATGATGATGATTCCGTTAACAATGCTAGTAATAGTGATGATAGCGGAGACTTTTAGGCCTTTTTTTAGTTTAAGCTGCTTCTTTTTTTCCATTGCAAATGGAGTGATTGCTAACTTTTGTAATTTTTTTTTTTTGCTAAACATCTTCTTTATTTAGATGGACTATATTTCTATATGCTAATGGCTATATATTCTATTTACTATATGCTCCATCTTTGGTTTTTTGTATTATTTTATAATTTTTCACTTAAATTTTTTGTTTGTTGTGAGGCTTACGCCTCAAACCGCCTCTAGGCTTACGCCTCGCCTCATAAAGAAAAAACGCCTCAGTACTTAGTTCCGCCTTTTTAAACCTTGTGGAAGACAAGTGAAAATCGGAGGCCAAAATGGTTGAAAAACTAGCCTTTGGGTAGTTTTTTGATTTTAATTTTGGCGGCTTTTCACTACTTTTTTGGCACCATTTCGTGTAGCCTTCTTCCATTGTTATAAATAGTGGTTGATGTTCATTGAAATAGAATAATAAACAATTAAGGAACATGAATTCATTCCACAAAAGGATCAAATCTCTTTTGCTCCATATTCAAATAATTTCCTCCTTGTGTTCTTAAGTTTTGAAGAATTCCACAAGTGCTTAAGTGTTGAATTCTTTACAAGGCTTGATCAATTTTTCGAACCATTTGCCGTGAGACCCTTTAAGCACCAAAATTTCACCGAGAGGAGGCAAATATCGTTTGAGCCTTCCATATTGTTTGGTATTTTGTTCGTGGTTTGCTGCACACTTTGGTGTGATTCTTCTTCAACATTTCTTGATTATTAGTATCGGTTTCTTCTAATTTTTGTGGAAGATCATATGACTACTGCTATTTTGGAAACAAAAGATAAGTTTATCATTTTCTTTTGTTTGTTGCCTTTGTTGGATTAAGATTTGATCTTGGTTT